CTACTGCGACTGCCACTACCACTACTACTACCGGTACCAGTACCAGTACCAGTGCCCGTACCACTACCACCACCACTACTCCTGCTGCTGCTGCTGCTGCTCCTTCTTGAGCCATCGCCACCCACAGAGACGGTACCGCCACGGCGACTGCGACTACGACGACCACAACAGCAACGACAACGACTGCTACTGCTTCTTCTTCCGACTTCCACCACTGGTACGATGATAGCGAGTCAGTGCGGACGAGGATCGAGTCCTTTCAGTGCTACTACGGAGATAACGGTACAAACGACATCATTAGCAATCATGGTCATAAGTAGGATGAATACATGTGCTGCTGCTTCTTTCGAAAGTCACAGCTTCGACACGTCTGAAGGTTGGATGGCTGCATGACTTTGAGGATGCGGGGCAGACGCAATCGCACCATAATCATGGAAGCAAAGACCATGGCAGCCACCCTTCGACACAACTGTGTTCTTTCAGGTGTAACCCTGGAAATGGGCCACCACAATAACCAGTACCTGGAAACAAGAAAGGACAAAGATTGCAGCAATGTGTCAAACTACGTCTAATGTCTCGCCCTTCACCTTTTCTGTATTGCATAAGGGCGAACCCCCTAAACCCGAAAACCAGAAGTAACGAACCTCCCACATGTGGCCACAGGTAAAGCCTAAGTGCAGCACGGATGCGCTGACTGCCAGGAACCACAAACTATGCTAAAGTAGTATAGCGGCCTTAGTAATTAGACTAGAAGTTTTGGGGCCCATTACGCTATAATCATAATAAGGAGCCCCCCAAAAGAGTTTAGGTAATTATGAAGGCCCCTATATTGGCCAGCCTCCTCCAAGAAAGTTGGGCAAGCACGACCCCGGAAGCGCCTCAGGACATTTGGGGCCCAGTATACTATAACTAGCCCCGCAAAAAAATCATGTAGGTAATTATGTAGGCCCCCATAGTAAACCCTAAACCCTAAACCCCTAAACCCTAAACCCTACACATAACAAACCCTAAGTTGACGTTCCCAGGTTTAGATGCCTCAGGACTGAGATCTTGTGGCTTCGGAGTGTACGGCCGGCTCTCTAAGTTGGAGCCCCATGCTGAATCTCGGCCAGAAGACGGGTAGGGTTTAGGGTTTAGGGTTTAGGGCTTAGGGTTTAGGGTTTAGGGTTTAGGGCTTAGGGTTTAGGGTTTAGGGTTTTGGGGTTAGAAGACGGAGCCTCTCCTGTACAGTAAAGACCACAAGAGGGACCCAATTCAGAGAAGACCTAATGCAGGGGCCTTGATAATTAGAGTAGGGTTTTGGGTACGTCATACCAAAACTAGAAGAAACCCAAACCCTAACCCTAAACCCTAAACCCTAAACCAGAGGATAGGTAATTATGTAGGCCCCAAAGGAAAGGCTTTTAGTACCTGAGTGGAGCACGAGAAAGATCGCCTTCTTGAAGGTTCATGGGTAATTATAAGTGGGGTTATGGGGTTCCTTTAAGGGTTCCTTTAAAGGGTTCTACAGTGTTAAGGGTTTAGGGTTCATAATTATAAATGAGTTATAAGTAGGGTAACTGTACTTCTAACCCATATTAGGGGACTTATAACTCCATTTAGAACTGCCCATGGACCCTAAACCCTAAACCCTATAGAACCCTTTAAAGGAACCCTTAAAGGAACCCCACAACTCCACCTGTAGCTACCCACGAACCGCCAAGTTGAGCTCAGTGGCCTGAACGTATAGTAGAAGCCCCGAAAAGTTGGAGAAACCCAATGGCCTCAATCCTTAAGAGCAGAACGCACAAGGAGTCCCAACACTGCTTTGTCCTCAATCCGGTTTCCTACCCTAAACCCTAAACCCTAAACCCCAAACCCTAAACCCTAAACCCTAAACCCTAAACCCTAAACCCCAAACCCTACACCCTAAATCTGGGGTCTACGATCCTCTGGGCGCCTCCGGGCCGACCCTGAGAGTCCTGAGGGCGGAAGCCTGCTTAAGGCATGACCGAAGTAGGACTCTAGACTTAGGGTTTAGGGCTTAGGGTTTAGGGTTTAGGGTTTACTTGGAGGAGGGTTTAGGGTTTAGGGTTTAGGGTCTACTTGGACGTTCATGGGTAGCTATAAGTGGAGTTGTGGGGTTCCTTTAAGGGTTCCTTTAAAGGGTTCTATAGGGTTTAGGGTTTAGGGTCCATGGGGTAGTTATAAATGGAGTTATAAGCCCTCTAATATGGGTTATAAGTACAGTTAACCTACTCATAACCTCATTTATAACTACCCATGAACCTCCAAGTAGATGCGACAATCTTGACGTGCATCCTATACGCATGGAGCGAATATACTCTGACAGCCCAACTGAGATCGACGAGAAACTAGTCCAAGCATGTCACACACACAACTCCCTAATGTAGAACCCTCAGAAGACAGTAATGCCAGCCCTTAGGGATCTTTATTGGAATATAACCACCAAAAAACTCTGCTTTAATCATTAAGGCGCCTTGTTCTAGAATTATAGATCCCTTATAGTAACCCATAAAAAATCCCTTCCAAGGGACCCTCTAAACCCTAAACCCTAAACCCTAAACCCTTATAGTAACCCTTAAAAATCCCTTCCAAGGGACCCCCAGTGTTTCAGATGCAGCCAGCGCACCCCAAGAGGAGCCTCACGAATGCCTCGTGATCTTCCCGACTCCATCCACCTGACCCAAAGGGTTTGGGGTTTAGGGTTTGGGGTTTAGGGTTTAGGGTTTAGGGTTTAGGGTTTAGGGTTTAGGGTTTAGGGTTTAGGGTTTAGGGTTTAAAGTTTAGGGTTTTGGGCTTCAGGGTTTAGGAAGCTTAGGGTTTAGGGGGTTTAAGGTTTAGGTTTAGGGGTTAAGGGCTTAGGAAGTTTAGGCTTTAGGGCCTAGGAAGTTTAAGGTTTAGGGGTTTAGGGGGGTTTAGGGTTTATCATTTGGTTTAGGGGGTTAAGGGTTTAGGGGTATAGCAACAGTCGGGGTTTAAGCCTTAGGCTGCTTTTAGAGGCTCAGCTTCCACGGCTGGTCATCTTTCTTGGTTGGGGGGGGTTTAGGGTTTAGGGTTTAGGGTTTAGGGTGGGGGTTGCGGGTTCAGGGTTGGTTGAAGCCAGCTTGCTTTCTTGAGGGATCTGTCTGTGGAGTTCCGGAATATAAACCCCGAAACCCACTAGAGCACCTACTCGCTGAATAACCTGGTGGCTTCCTCTCACCACTATGCAGGGTTCTGCAAGCCCGGACTTGCTTACGAGGTGAGCGGCTTGCCTGTTGAATAGATTGGGGCTGTAAGGTTCTGCGGGCCCTAAACAAAAAACCCTAAAAAACCCTGAACACCCTAGACCCTAAAAACCCTAAAAACCCTAGAAAACCCTAGAAAACCCTAGAAAGCCCTAAACCCTAAACCCTAAATCCTAGAACCCTAGAACCCCAGGGGGTTGTAACGTTCTGGGGTTTAGGGGCTCTGGCTTGGGGTCTTAGGGTCAAAGATTTTAAGCAGCTTCTGGGCTTCTGATCGCCGCACTTTCAGGGCTTCCGTCCAAAGGGTTTAGGGTTTAGGGTT